ATATAGGTATGTATACGCAAAATACGTATACGTATTGCATCTCTGAAACTATTTTTCACGCCAATGAATATTGATTTTTGCTTTTTTTCACTCCCATTCTTGCTTAAAACAAGCAAAGACAACAATAAGCGCTTTAAAATCATCAAAGCTTAATAAAGAAAGCCCTTTAGCTTTTGTCTGTTTTGATGAAGTTTGAATTTAATCGTATTTTTTCGCATGCACTTCCAAGTACTCAAACAACACGTCTGCAGGGTTTGAAGACATTTTCAGACTCCATATTTCTAAATTTTGAAGTTTTCTCTTGGCAGAAAACTGTATAAATGACCGAATGTGTGTATTGTTTTTTTTAAAAATGAATATACCGTTAACAATTGTTTCTCAGAAAAATTGATTTTGATGTCTTTAAAACTGGAATTTATCAATCGAAAGCTAAATTTTCAATTTACTACTATGCTAACTACTATGCTAAGTCAGCAAAAAAGAGGCTTTTAAAAATATCATTTCAAAGCAGGCAAGCTACAGATTCTAAACAATGCATCACAAGACCAATCAATTTGCTAATGATTGTATCAGCGAGATCAGTCTTGAAAAATGTATTTAAAAATGTTGTAATCTTGGAAATTTATTTACCATTTGTAAAGCAAATGAAACTGCTCGTATCTGAACAAAGCTCTAAATGTTTCAATTTCCCTTTAATCTCCATTACCTATGACGTAGATTTGGATTCTTAAAATTGATAAAAACTAAATAACAAACTCATGAAATTTTCAGTTTTCCTTTTTAAATGCTTCTTCATCACGCGTTAAATTTACCCAATTTTTCAGACCCCTTCATATCAATAAAAATTAATGCCGCTAAAAATATTGAAATCAGGGAAACGATTTTATTCTGGTGGAATAAAAAATAATTCAAAACCGCCAGTTAAACAGCCGGGATTATGAAAGTGAAAAAGTTATGTAATAAAGCGACAAAAGGTAAAGTTATATCAATAATAGAAATGAAAGCTACAATAGTAAAGCTCAAGATGTACTAATGAAAAAAAGATCATCTTTGGGTTCGCTTGCTGCTTGCGTATTCGAAATTTTATTGTCATAAAACTTAGGATGGACCGATATCGATACATGCTTCATCTCTCGAAACGTTTTTTTAGTTTGAGTGTTTTTTTTTGCTTTTCCCAATTTTGCTCAAAGTGACGAAATTTAAGACCAACAAAATTGACAAAGTAACATTGGCTTTTCAGTAACATTGGCTTTTCATCTGTTTTCATTCACCGCTGTTGCAACTTTTTTGAATTTATTTCTCTCTTTTCCACGCTCTTTTCCGAATACCAGAACAACAGACTGAAGCGAGCGCGGTTTCAGATTGAATATTTTTTGATGAATAAATTAGTTTTTCCGATTTCGTCTCAAATAGCATAACTCCCAATTGGCATAAAAATGAAAAATTTCCCAAATGGCGTAAAATTCAGTAACAGTTGCATGAAAAAAATCGCGAACAACTTTTTGGTGGACAATGTGAAAAAATTAGTCAAGTTGTCAATTCAAATGTTGATTGACATTGTATCTTGACAAATAGTTTTTTTATCAAAAGCGAAAAGCATAAGTTTGCAGTTTTTGATAAGCTTCTTTTGGTAAATTTTTCCTACAAATTGTCGATTAACATTTGTTTGGAAGCAATTATTTCCAAATCTTGTACATAATTTTTTGTTCCTGACAAAATTTTAGAATTAGAAATTGATAGAAAACGTTTGAATTTATGCCATTTGGGATAAATTTCATTTTTTATGCCATTTAAAATTTATACAATTTGAGAATTTACCGTTTTTACATTGCAAAAACTGTTTAAATGGATAAACTGTGTTTTTGAAAGTTATATTTATTGTAAAAATTATTTGCATTGGTTGGTATTTTGGTTAACCAATGTTTTTTCAACAATAGTTTTTTAACACACGACGTAATGAACATAAATTATTATCCTCGTTTCAAGTTTACAAAATTTATTAGTTAAAAAGATAATTTAGTTCACCTTATATCTATGCTTAATCCATATAACAAAAGTATTCCGATTTTAAGAATTGTGATTTCAAATCAAACATTTTTATTTTTAAGTTTTCTGATCACTATAGTCAAATTTAATTTTACGCTGCGTTTAGTAATTAGATGTTTTAATTTAAGTGTTTTTTTATTTTATTTTTTGTAACACTGAAATATATCACAAATTAGTTATTCTAAGCAGACTAAAATGGTATTTTTGATGTTCACAAAACTTTACAAAAGGATAACAATTGAAGTAAATTGTGATTTCGAGCTCAGAGCATCACTAGTTTTCAGGTGGTCTAGAAAACCAGCAAAAGCTGCCCAGATTGGTCTTCCAGTAACAACCAGTACTGTTTCAGCGTAAAACTAGTGACATATTTTTTTTCAGTACTGTTCCAGGAAAAACCCAGTGAAACAAGAAAAAACAGTGCTGTTATATTACTGTTGTTTTTATGTCACTGTTTTTGTCCTGGAATAGTACTGTATTTTCTATCAAATTTTCGAGTTGCTTTCAAAGTTTTGTTACGAGTCATACAATCGAAAAAAAAATACATTACGAGGCCAAACTGTGCTTTGGATAGGCGCACAAGTTTGTGTCTGTATGTTCCTGGATTCAAGAGACAAGTCTTAGAACATGTTACAAAATGTTAGGGGATTTCACTTAAAAATTTTTGGTGGATTATGCGTACAAATACCTGTAACGTAAATTTTGTCGGCACATTGATTTTGTTGCGGAGTCCGCAACGAGCAAGTATAGGTAGTTGTTGCGGATTCCGCAAACGAAATCGGATTCCGCAAATGTAATTTGATTCCGCAAAATTATGCGGATTCCGCTTACAATTTGCGGATTCCGCTTACAGTTTGCGGATTCCACTTATAGTTGAGGTTTCCTCGACAACCTATTTTTACTAAACACATATGCTATAATTTGTTTATGGATTCCACAAACTTGTTCCGGATTCCAAACATTTTGTTGCGGATTTCACAAAGTTGCCTGTTTTTGGAGCAATTTTGAGCAATAAAGTGTTTTAGCTATTTGTCCGTGGAATCCAAAACAGCAAAGAAAGTCAGAGAAAAATAACAATTTTGCGGATTCCGGGACAAATCTGATTTTTGCCTGTTGCGTTATCGGCCTTCAAATCACATAATGCACAGTTTGGCCTCTTAATGATGAAAGGCCCTAATTCAGCCCCCCCCCCCCAAAGTTAAAATCAGCTGAAAGCCGCCCAAAAAAGAAGTTTTTTTTTGCAAAATAAATTAGAAATGACTCAGCCTTGATAACCAGAAGCCTGGAGCAACTAACCAGAAGCCTGGTCAAAAAAAGATAATTTTTGACAAAAATATTTCCGAAATTTTATATCACCCGCCCACAGCTAAAATCAGCTGAAAACCGCCGGAAAACGCAGTTTTTTTTGCAAAATAAATAATAAGAGATCTCTAAGTTTTGGAGTTTATCTCAAAAAAAAACAATAACAAGCACACAGTAAAAAAACAATCTTAATCAAAATGGCAATAGAAACCATCAAAAAACTAAAGCCAGAGATCAAAACATTTAGAATATTCAGCTGGTGATCAGTTTACGTAAACTTGAAATCGGGACTATTGAGGTAAAATTATATAAAAATTTTGCGCTCTTTGTTATGCAATTGCACGTCAACGCGCAATGAGCGCAGCAGACTGCTTCATTCCTAGTTGAATATAGGTGATTCAATGGATCAAAAAGTTCTTTACTAGACGATAAACATATCCTTTTGTCATCAACAAATAAGTTTCGACGCTCTGCCGACCCAAAGGGTTCCACCTTCGTTCTATTGTGAGTTATCCACTTTTGGCTGACGGACCCTAATATTTTTCGGAAGGCGCTTTTGGCTCCATTATATACAAATTTTGAGGGCAAAGCGCGCCGAAAAAACGCGATTTGAGTATATATTAAAAAAAAAAATCCGCTCCCCCCAAGTCCTAGATTTGCCCCTGCAAGTGTCTGTTATCAAAAAACATCAATTTCAAATACTTCCATAGAATTGAGCGAATTTTTTTTAACCGAAAGTCAACTCACGGGAGTGTGCATACATAGTTTTTTTCTCATTTCCAATGGATGAAAGTTTTGTGTGAGTGAGTAACACAGCAAATATGGCACATGAGACAATGGGTTTGATCTCCGGTCATATTTATGAATTTTTGTCGTTGGGAAATTTTATTGGTTTCTTTTATTCGAAGTATAAAAAAACAATTAGTGGACTCAACAAACAATATTTCACAAAATTCATCTGCACTTATAAAGTAAATTGCTATAGTTTGCACCAGAAAATGCGGAAAAAGTTTCGATTCAAATTTAGTATTGTCTGAAATAATTCAATTAAATTTTTCACTAATTCAAGAAACAGCATGTCAGATTTCAACCCATTTGTATTAAAGTTGTTTTTAAGCTCTTTTTAGATGATTCAAGATATTTCTTCAAAAAATCTATTTTGTTAAGAAGCTTTTTTTATTTTCTCAAATAAACTTTAAACTTCTTTTTCTAAGCTACTCACTATTTATGTTTCATTGAATTTGTCTATAAGGCTTCTTTTTATTGAAATCGTCTAGAAGGCACCAATTTATTCTAACTAATGCAGATACTTGTTTAACCTAGCGGGAGCTTAACGATCCTCACATGTTCGAGCAATCAGAGTTTTTATTGCTCCATTAAGTTTTATTGGTTATTCATGGCTTGGTTTCAGAGAACAGAGGAAGCACTTCCGCTGAAATACTTATTGCAGGCACTTCATTCGAAACCTTTTGAAAAGCAAATTTTGTAGTTAAAAAAGCATTTCAAAACAAAAAAAAACAAAGAAATGATTTTTTTTTCAAAGACAGCACTGATCGGAGCATTTTGTACAATTGCACCATTCCGGCTTCTCTTCTTTGATTAATACGTGAACAATATTTTTGGGAACAAGGTGTGTTAATTTGAAGTTATGTAATTTCGAAAACAATAATTTGAACCTGTAATTTATTCAGTGTATGTTATTCAGACAGTTGATCATAATGTAAGATTTTACTTTACATTCAGTACAACTGAGTTACTTATGCTGTCTTCTAAATCTTTATTCGACTCTGTTGTTATTCTGTTTCGTCGGCTGTCGAGGGAGAAATTGTTGGACTCGTTCTTGAGCATGGGGGATGAACTGGCGACCTCTGGTCGTATTATGCCCGAATTGGTCTCGTCGTTGTTCGCAACTGAGTCCTTTCGGTTATGGAAACTCCCGATCACCGGCTGACAATAACAACAACAATCTCAACATTTGAATTTAAAGATATCACTCAAAAATATGTTCTCTTGAATTATATTCTCTTGAAAACAAAAATCATAGATTTAAAGTCTGTTATCACGTCTGAGATATTTAAAGTCTGTTTTCAGTCACTTTTATAGGTGATGGCAGATTCTTGACAAGTTCTTCTTTGCTTAGCAGTCTCATATTAGTGGCTTTAAGACAAATGGTCTTCAAAAAAAAAGAGGATTTGCTTTGGACAAAAAGTGATGAGGGGAGAGGTGGTGAAGTGGTTACGTCTCCGCCTCTCAATCGAAAGGTCGGATGTTCGAGGCCCAACATGATCCGTGCTCGTTGCTTGAAGCAGAGGCAACATTACCCAGCCCAGAAAAATAACCTTAAAATTTCAATTGTTTCTTAAACAGGGGCACAACAGCGGTTTGCCGTGATGATCTGCACAGCTCGTATGCTGGTCCTTTCCCGCGTAGATAAATGGTCTTAATCTAAAAGGTCATGTGTTCTCAAAAGATCATCCTGTTCTCAAAAGTAACGCAAACCTTAACATGCAACATTCAAAGGAAAGGTAAATTATTAATCATGATAATTTTAAAAATAAATACTAAGTGTTTTTTTCAGGTGATTGCAGAATGAAATTAATATATCACAAACACCACACCGACAGAACACCTGGGACTGCCTAGGAAATCACCCTGAGACCAACCATGGGTTCAGTTTCAAGCATCTCTGATTTCAAGAAACAAACAAACAAATACCCAATGTGCGTTGCTAGTTCTCTGCTGCTTCTTTCTTCTCTTCTTCCTAATACAGGACAAGTTGGCCCGGCTGAGAGCAATCTGGTAGGCGGCGTAGGTGGGGATGCAGAGGACGGCAGTGAGCACGAACACCCACCCTATGGCATCCGCCCACTTGGGGTACACGTAGTCCCCGTAGGTGAGGAACCCATTGCCCCGGAAGTACTCCACTATGTCAAACGTCAGGATACCCTGCATCGAACATGTCACGTTTTAATGTGTCAACACAAGGAATCTAGCAATGATTTCCAGTCTCAAAGTTTGAAAATTAAGTTGCGATTGAGAACTAATTTGCGATTAAAAAGCCCTATAAACTGCAGCATGCTTAATGCCAAATGAAACTCGATCGTCACAAACCGGGGAGTAAGAAAAAAACAAATAAAAATTCCAGAAAAACCAAATTACACTAACTTTGTGAAGCAAAACGTCATTCCGTGAATTCGTCGAAAAATTGACGGCGTGGAGAATGACTAACTAGTATGAGTATTGGAGAGAAGACACACCAACATAACTGGAACCAAGTGAGGATCCATGAGTCATAGCCCAACATGTCCACAATGTTGCGTCTGTACTTCCGGTAGCCATATATGTACATTAATGCCACCAGTTCAAACAGGGCGATCAGCAGAAGGTTCTTCCCACTGGCCGAGTAGCTGTTCCAGATCTCAAACACGTACACGCCACCCTGAAAGACGTGTACAAGAAAAACTAGCCTTATCGCTGGAATTTTAGGGCGCGCGTATCACATTGAATCTTTCTCAGTGTTGATTCAGATTCCAAAAACTTTGCAATCCATTTTTTTTTTCGTTTTCGAGTTAAGTTAATATTTGTTAGGTGTCAGGAAAAAAGATACAATACCAAAAGCTCCCATGACAAAAAAATACCGTACCAAAAGGTCCCTTGTACAAAAAACGCCAGACCATAAGATCCTACGCCAACTAAAAAGATCCCATGAATTATGAAAAAAAGTCATGATCAAATGGTTATCGGAAAAAAAATCTACAGTTTCGATATCTCAATTAGGTGCCATTAATGAACAACGCAATTCTAAAAAACCCAAAACTGGATTCATTTCTCGGATTAACATACTGCCAGACAGCATGCGTTAAATTTAGTGTTAATATGGCATTGGATCAGAACAAGTCAATTGATAATGCTCTGCATTCATTATCTCACTATTCAACCCATTGAATAGTCAAAATTGAGTTCTTTTACTTGGGGAACCTACGAAAAGGCAAAACACTTATTATTCTTGACGACCATGATTTTCAAAAGAAACGCGATACAAAGACAACAACACACTGGCACTACAGCAAATGGAGATCATACAAGTGCCCAAAAATTTTAATCACTTGTACGAGCGATATTATTTCAAACAGCAACGAGCCACGAACTAAAACGCAGGGCGCTCAGAAGCTCGACAACTAATTCAGCAAATGAGGGACAAATGTAGGAATCAATTAAATCCAAAAACCAGCCAGATTATTGCAGCTTGTTTGGAATTAGTGCAGGACGTCAAGACAACCCAGCTGTCTTTGCCATCCCGGTCGGTAAAAAAGGCGACCTCTAAACAGAAGTAACCACTGACTTTTTTGCCCACTTTTCCCACAGATGACCGTCATTCCGAATAACCGGATCGTCTTGAGCAATTTTGTTTTTTCGATAGCCGAAAACAAGATACGGCTTTTGGCGACATTGAGAACATCAATTACTTAACTTGAACAGTAGAACCTGGCCGGCGTCTACGCTTCTTTTGTCCAAGTCAGTTTTACATCTATATTGGCGGGTTTTATCAACCTTGCGTCTACTCTCTGGTCAGCAAAAACCTGTATCAACATATAACAGATTCCTAACTGCGCTTAAGCCACTTATCGGTGACGTAACTACGGAAAAAGTTTCGTAAGATTTTGAAAACGCAGCGTTGAGGGTTTTTGCGTATCATTAGCAAACTGACACTAAGGGATGCTGTTTTCACCTTTGTCAAAACTATATTCAGAAAAATCCGAATTGGGCCTCAAAAAAAATTGGGCATCAATCAAACAGCGAGCTAGTCATAGCGCTGAATAAGATTCCTGCTGTTAAATTTGTGCCGGAGTCAAAATCGGAAATCTCGTTCGAAATAGTAATAGAGAAAATATGCAGTGTGACAACCACACTGCTTACTTCGCAAAAAGATCCCAAAAAATTGGTTAAGATCACGGCTTATTTCCAAAAAATCTATGTTCCATGGTTTTGATTGGCCGAAAATCACTGTTTCCTATTTTTTCATGGTAGAATTATCGAAAGGCTGCCTGTGTGCTAGCCCGAACGAAATATGCAGTTGAAAGGACGAATCTAGGTATTTCCGCTTTCTTTCAAGGCAGCCATCCTACAACATACAATTTTCAGTAAAAAATTCAAGTGGACTCCTATAATAAAAAAATCAACATTCAGCAGTCATCCAACGGTACTATCAATTTATCCCGGAGAAGTGTCGTGATCTGAAGATCAATAGATAGATAATTCATACACATACTCTAACATTTTGACTTATGCTCATTCTATCTTTTAATTTTTCTGTAAGTTTTTGCCTAGTTTTTTTGTGGCTAATTTTCATTTGTTTGATCAAATTTTTTAAGGACGTCTCCTTCCACCCTCCCAGAGAACGCCGGAACGCAAAACTATACAACACAGTTTTGAAAATGATCTCTCCAGAAATTTAACCCCAGAAGAATTGCCCTAATTTACGGGAATTGACATTATTTAATAACGAAAAAAGTTGATCGAAACTGAAAACTGATATTTTTTATTAAATAAAATGGCAAGTGGTTTGCAATAAAATTGATTTCAAGGCACTAGAATTTTGCAAAAATTTAAATTCATTTTTGTACCATTTTGAATTGTATGAAAAGTTTGGTAAAGTTTGGCAAAATTGGTTTTGATTCGTTGGAAACTTTTTTCAAATTTTCTTGCAGTCTGAGCTGTTTTGAAGTTTCAGTTTCATTTAAAAGGCCAAGTGATTAGCAAAATAATTTTTTGTTGGAAATTTGTGTAGAAAAAGTTTTGTCGTTTCTTTGATTTTAACTGACGCTTTGTTTTTGCTTTGATTGATTAACCGCCTCTGTTTTCAATTTTTGATTCTTTGTTTTTTCTTTATTCTGATATCTTATGTCATGGGCGATTTAAGAACAAGGTACTTTTTGGAATGGTATTTTATCGACTGGGATCTTCTTGATTGGGATCTTAAGTTAAAGGGTCTTTTGTCAAGTAACCATTTATTTAGGGGAAGAGGCGGGCGGGGGTGACGGCTCACCTCCCCTCAATGCTGGTTGCCAAATTTTTCAAAAGGGTCCCCCTTTGTTTCATTTTTACGACCTGCATTTTTTGCTAGCCCAACCTTTTTTTCTAAAAGCGCCTTCAAATTTCTCTAAAAATGCCTTCAAAGCCAAAATGAATAATTTTGAGGGAGAAGCGTGCGCTGTAATAAACTCAACTTTTTGGTCAAAATTTTCCAAAAAGTGCCAAAAACGCCTTGTTAAACCTGTTTTCAAAAAACTTGCCAGCAGCGCAGAAAGTTTTTGATAAAATAGAGCCCGTATAGTGTTTTCGGAGAGCTTGGAAAATGAAATTGTTTGACCTAACAAAAAAGGTCGGCAAAATTTTCAAAACAGTTATTGTAATGAAGAAGTACCTCTGTGACCATGGAGAGTCCGATGAAAAAGTGGGTGAGACATACAGCAGCTGTGAACAGGGGTCTCCCCAGTCTCTTCTGACGCAGCCAAGGCCACACATCCATGATAGACGTCACAAACGACTCCACCCCCGAAAACTAAATCAATTAGATGAAGTTCAAACATTAGGTCAACATTTCACTAAAAGGGACATTGGTGAAAACTGCAATGTTGTTTGTTTTAGATTTCTGGTTCTTACAGATCCTACCCCAGAAAAAGTTAGAGATTGAAAACAGAAAAAACAGACTACTCTATTTAGCATGAACATTTAAGATTGAGAAATTTATTAGCGTTTTGGTAGTTTTTGTTTTGAGATGCTAATTTAACATTTCTTATTTAGCTTTAACTTCGCCATAGTTAGTTTTTCCATAGAGGTAAATCAAAGTGTAAAAACAGGGTTCCAGTGTTATATATTCTGTATGTAGTAGCTTTCGACTTTAACTTTAGTAAATACTGCTAATGGCTAAGCAAAGTTTTTTTTTTATTTCGCAGAACAATAAAAACATCAACTGATGCGGACTTGGCTGTCGAATCCGAGGAGGATGATCATGAAGAAGAAGAGGATGGCCCAGAAGTTGGATCCAGGCAGCAGACTGATGGCTACTGGGTACGTCTTGAACACCAGACCAGGGCCTAAATTTAAAAAAACTGAAATTCAGATGAAGAATGCTGCCAATTATGTCGCTTCTTAAGTTGTTTTGTGTGAAGAGAATTTTTTATTTATCTTTTCATTTAAGTTTTACCGAGCAATTTTTTAAAATAATTTCTTAGTGTTTTTTTTCAAGAAAATGCTAGTGAAGTTTGATGTTAGACAGAGTCTTAGATGAAAGAAAGGAGGGGGGTAATAAAGCATAGATCAAATTGTACCGCTGTCAGTCACTTCTGAAATGGGCAGTCCAGTCACGTGGGCCAGATGACCCAGAATGGAGAACACACCAAACCCAGCAAATACAGAAGTGGCAGGGTTAGCTATTGAGATGATGATCGAATCCCTGGAACAGGTAATTGTTTCTGAATGATATGGAAATAATTTAACAACTGGCAATTTTGGCTCACAAAACTTCGCGAACTTGACTGTAAACGACATATGAGCTCTGGATAATCTCGTCTTTCAAGGTTCATGTTTTTAAAAAAAATGCAATCATTAATACAATCTAAAATCAAAAGGCACAGTTTCGTGCCAATTAGTCGGTGCATTCCAGTCGGTAACCAATCTTAAAACTGACCCTAAAAGGGTGGGGGGGGGGGGGGGGGGGGAGGTTGTATGCAAGGAAGGATGAAGGAGAAGGATACATTGTTTACCTGAGAACGTTGTTGTGGTAGTCGTTGAAGCTGCCTAGCGTGGGGAGTACCCCCAGACACAGAGCATAGGAGAAGAAGATCTGGGTGCCGGCATCTATCCATACCTAAGAAAAGAATTCTATTTGAAAACGCATCTACCCATTTAGATCAAAGATCAAGCATTGAAATTTGTACGGGAGTTCTCTGAATTATTATTTCAATTTTAGCAAAATCAACAGAAAGAAAATCAAATGACCTGAAGATTACATTGACGTTATCTTTTTTTATATGACTGAAGTTTGTTTTTGTTACGACTATTTTAGAAGAAAATGACGGAATATTTGTGCTCGCGGTGAATTTTTTCCAGACAAATTTTTCAGTTTTGACTAGCAATCTTTGACAAAATTTTTATTGCCTTCGAAAGGTATTCTTGTCTTGAGCTCAAATCTTGAAAGCATTTTTATCTGTGATCATTTTTCGTAAAATTATGGGGATATAAGGACTGCCAATTGGGCCAACTTGGGACAATTAACAAGCGAGATATTTTGTGCTAATAGAGAGTAAGCGGTTATTTAATCCGTCTTACCCGCATAGGCAAAACCTAGATTGCTATTGATTATCATCGATTTGTATACTGACTTTTTTCTTGTAAAAAATCGATTGTATGTAACCCATTTATACAATAAGAAAAACAAGACTGCTCGTATCAGGGCAAAATTTGAGCTCAAGACAACAAAACCTTTCGGCTGATATAATAAAATTCTGTCAAAAACGGCTGAAAACTCAAATTTTGTCTGGAGAAAAAAACATCCCGAGCACAAATATTCTATCTTTTTCTTCGAAAGTCGGAACAATAATATAGGGTTTTTATGCAGTAAAAAATATAGAATTTTATTGTCTAAAAGTTGGAGCATATTGCATCTAAAAAATGCATCTTATGCTGCACAAAAATCTGTATATATTTTGTTGAAATTTGTATAAAATCAATTATTTCTGTATGAAAAGAATTATATTGTTTGGAATTTTCGTTTTCTAAGCATATTTTTGAAATCATACAACATAAATTTTAAGCTTCAAAACGTTAATTTGTTGATGGATTTTTGTTACAAAAACAAACAAAAAATTGTACTCAAAAAAGACTCGAGAGTGTTTGAGTGAGCTTAAGCCAATTGAGGAGAGATGGTTATCGCAAACCATGGTTTTATGAGATTCCTCAAGATTTTTGTAATCTAAACGGCTCGTGCGATGAATAAATTTACTTTTATTGTTCTGACTTTCTAAGATCAACCTTTTTAGCGTGCATGAGTTTTATGCAATTTTTTTGGAGATCAACCTATTTATTGTGTTTTCATGAAAAATAAGCGACAAATCATTTAAAAGGTCATAGAAGAACTATTAGTTTTGCTACAAAGAACTCTTGGTTGCTGATACATTGCTATTTGAAAGTATAACATTTTGTACTTTCCTTGATACGAGCACAGCAGTCTTGTTGTTCCGACTTTCGATACGAAAGTAACGGAATATTTGTGCTCGGGGTGGGTTTTTTTTCTTCAGACAAATTTCGACTTTTTAACCAGCCATTTTTGACGGAATATCATTCGAAAAGTATTGTTGTCTTGAGCTCAAATTTGAAATGATATTTCACCTGTGATTCTTTTTCTTAGAGTTTCGAGGGTTTAAAGATTGCCATTTTGGCCAATTTGGGACAATTAACGCCCGATATATTTCGCGCTAATAACGCGTAAGCGTAGATTTAATCCGTCTTAGAAATTGTTCCAAATTGGTTGAAAGAAGCTTATTTGCCTTTATTGATTTGTTACAAGGAGCGAAATCTATCCTTTTGTACTTTATATGGCGTGTGAGGGGATGATTATCATAAAAAATTTCAAATTTTAGAAAAAAAAAGTTCCTTTTGTTTCATTACATTTAACTTTACTTTATGTTACTACTGCTCCATAAACCTTAAAAGGCAGTCGGAACATTCAAGGCTTTGCCTTGATACGAGCAGTCTTGTTCTTTTTGAATTCTTTCATAATTTCTTGCCTTTGAGTTGGATAGTTTTGAGAAGTCAGGTCTGAGGTAGAACAGGATGCCCTCTGCCGACCCCTCTAAAGTACAGCCCCTGATGATCATGCAGGTGATGATGACATAGGGAAAGAGGGCGGTGAAGTACACTACCTGAAAGAAAGAAGAAAAGAATTCAAGATTGTGAGTATTACTGAAATAAATCATCGTAAGAACTCCAGAATGAAACACGAACTTTAGTTTCACAGTGTAGTAGTGACAGTAACTCAATCTCAAGTACGATTTCCAAAAAATAAGAATTGTTTGAATCGGCCTCTTTAGAAAAAAAGCAGTTTGTAATCCTCTTCTGATAGCTTTTTTGTGTGATTACCTTTCCTGAGATGTGTATGCCCTTGAAAATGCAGAGGAAACAGAGCACCCAGACGAAGAAAAGACATCCTGCTAAGTGGAGTACTATCGATCCAGGGTCGTCCACTCCAGAGGACATGTGCTTCATCAGAACATGACGACTAGAAGGTCAACAAAGGTTAAGACGGGATTTCAAAAAACATAGGTCAAAGTTTAACCTCTGAAGGTCAAGCAAAAGTCATTTCTTCGTAAAATCATATGCGGCTTTTTCAGGTAAACTCAGATTTCAAACAAGCGTTTTAATGGTTTTACGAAGTTTTTAAATAAAAAGCTTTAAAAATTTTTAATTCATATAATGTTTTTAAGCACAAATGTCCGATACATTTTAGTAATATATGTTTTATTAGTTGAAAAAATGTCAGAACTAAAAACTCGAAACTTATAACAGAAAAGTTTTAATCATTTCGTATATTTTGCTAGTGAAAAAGCAATTCAGACAATAAATTAATTTGGAATTGTTCACGTACATCCAGTATTCGTCCACACTGGAGACCCTCTGGTGGACTAGATTGGAGAAGTTGACGTCCGACCCATTGCCAGACTGCTGCATCTCCTTCAGCTCATCCGCTATCTGTGCAACCTTTGCACAAACAAAACAAAAATAGAAAAGGGAATGTTCTTGTCATCCGACCGGAATGGCAAAACCATTACGGGTGATTTAAATATTTAAATCTATATAGCAAAAGTGATTGTTCTCAGAACGTTCACTTTCGCTATATTTTCGCTCTGCAGAAGCACCTCTAGAATGGGCAAAACGGGCGGCCATAATGGAAATGGCCGTATTTGCTAAAAATAGGTTTGATATTTGGAGTTTACTTCGTGACGAATCGACGCTCACAGATCTTACTGAATCTATATAAGAGGTTGAGATTAATGAGGTTGAGATTAATTAATGCCCAAGCACAAGGGAAAACCCGCGAGGAGCGCAATCAAGAAAAGAGAGTCGGCTGGGAGAACAAATTCCTATAGTGACTAGAAAAAGGAGTACTGTGCACCTCATTCGGATGGGACGAGGCAGACGCCAAAGTTAGAATTTATATAAAGTTAGAAGTTTATGTTTGGGCGCTGAAGGCCAAAGAAAACTACAACAAAAAGGACGCGGCTGAGCCTACAATCTACGACAACGAGAAAACTAATGACAACATTAGAAAAACTACTTGTGATAAACGCTTAATTGCCTTTAAGAGATACAAACTAATATGTCGCAAACAGAGGAAAGACGAGTGAGTCACTCAAACAATTTTATGAGAATTTAGTGGAACTGGTATTAAGAGCCGATTGCGGCGAAAGAGAAGACGAATATGTGAGATACTTGCTTACTGCACACATGAGCAAGGAAAATATAGCTGAAAAGCACGATTCGCAAAATTACCAGAGACGATAATTAGCAGAGGACGCGATCCCCACACTATGCGTATGAACACGCATTACGTCACGAAAAAAAATCGAATGCAGAAGAACAATGAAGAGAAATCGTTTCGGTCCATCAACATCCGCACCTATGACAAGATCATGGGATATATAAGACCTCGAGGACTTGGAGGACAGTGCCAAGCCGATCAGCGGAGTCGTGATCAAAGAGGACCACAAAACACCACATGATAGAACTTCAAACCAAAAGGAAAACAAAACACAAGTCATGGGGGACAATACAAGCACTGCTACAAATGCGGAAAACATTTTTGTCCAAAACATTTCCAATCTTGCCCCGCAAAGAATAAAATGTGTTCTAAATGTGCAAAACTGCGACATTTTGCGAAAGTCTGCAAATCTACAAACGTCACTTCATGCGAGAAGGAGGAAACGAGGAACAATACAAATTGAACAGGACATCACACACTGAAGAGAATCACCCAGTAAAATCAAGTCAACGAACGGATGAGAACATATCCAGTGGGATAACTATACAGTTATCGCAACAGAAGAAGCTTTTGCGATTAAAGTTTCAGCAAAAATAACTGCAGAAGGTTTGAACGTTCACATAAAAAACCGATATGCCATTGCACACTTGGGTAGTTCGATATCTTTCTTTAACCAAAATACTGCACAAAAACTAAGAGAAAATGACAAATCGAAGACGTTCAAACATATCTCACCGGAGGATGCAGCTCGAACTCTCGCATGCTAGAACGGGAAATTAATCATCTCGAAAAGCGACTTGTTATTGCAGTTGAATCTGGTAGATTCACAATCCAATTAGCGCCATTCAAAATCGTCAACGACCAAAAGGCTAATGAATCGGACGAAACTTTCTGCCACAAATCGGAATAGTTGAAACAAAAAAAATAAAAGGAGAGGAAATGCAACATTCATGAAAATAAAAACCCAGACCCAGAAATTAAACAGTAGACAAAAGACAACTTTGAAAACAAGCGGGTGAGATTTGGAAAAAATCAAAAACCATTAATTGAGATCGAATTTGTTGAAGATGTTATCCCGATCCAACAAAAGAGTGGACGGATTCCGATACAATTGCAAGAACGAATCGAAAAACTATTAACCAAGGTAATCGACCAAAAACACGAGATAAAATAAGACAAAGTGCAAACATGATCAATTCATTAGCCCGATCATAATTAGTATAAGAAAAGGACCAAACCATCTAATTGGCCTCGGATTCTATAAAAAGCTTTACCAATTAAGCAAAAAAAAAAAACAAGTTCCAAA